GGATTATTTGGGAATCTATTAATCTGTTTTCTAATTTTGGGTCAGAAATGGCTCAATTTTGTTTGTTTTATTAACAACTATGTGTATTATTGTAGCAACCAACATGGAGGCCCAGTTACAATCAAAAGAAAGAAAACAAACAGCAACAGACAACCAAAATGGCTGAGGTATGCTTCCTTTTCTGAAACATCAGCCTATTTAAAATAAATAAACGAAGACTCCCTCCTTCTTATTTATCCCCTTTCCCAATGGAAGTTATCCTCTTCCTTTACTTTGAACCAAAAATTTGCCTATCCAGAATTTTTTTTTCCCCAGGGGCACATCCTCCACACAACACTTTTTAGTAAGAGCATTCTATGTGATGAAGTCACAGAAGTCTGAACAAACAAAGCTTGTAAAAATGTGCTGACCTTGATGCTACCATGTTTTTTTTGTTCCCTTCTAAGAGGGACTTCAGGGCCTTTTTAAAGCTATTCCCCAGGAAGGTAGTGGGTTGAGGACAGGTCTCCTACCCACATAGTTGGGATGCATAGGGAAATCCTGCTGAGAGCTACCTCAGGACAACTGGAGTCAAGGTCAAGGTCTCAGCCTTTATCTGATTTCCTAAAAGATTCCCTAAATTTCCATGATGAAGACTCTGGATGGCAACTCCACTCTCAAGCAGAATGGAACTTTTCACGGTAACGATCAAGCTCATCTATGCAGGAGTCAGAGCTTTCTCAGCAGCTGCTATGACACACTGGAACGTACTCCAATGAAAACTAAGGGTTATCACAAGCCTCCATAGTACAAACACAACCCCAAGGTCATAACAAAAAAAGAGGCCCTGTTATAATTGTCTTAAATGTGTGCACTGTCACACGCACAAACAGCTAATGCCCTTCACTGATAAAGAAACAAATCCATCGCAGAGCTCTGCAGCACCATAAGTGTGCACCAATGTTCCCTTTTGCATTTCCAGAAGCTTTACAAAATGTGAAGGTGTCCCTTGGCTCAGGCAGATGTCATCCAGCCAAGATGTGTGCGCATATGGGATCACTGCTTTCCCTTGCCGGCTGGGAACTAGGACCAGCGTGAATGTGGGTGGGATCTGGCTGCCTGTACAAAGTTTGTAAACCAGACATGTCCTAAGCCAGGGGTAGGCAACCTAAGGCACATGAGCTGATTTTCAGTGGCACACACACTGCCCGGGTCCTGGCCACTGGTCCAGAGGGCTCTGCATTTTAATTTAATTTTAAATGAAACTTCTTAAATATTTTAAAAACCTTATTTACTTTACATACACAATAGTTTAGTTCAGGGGTTGGCAACGTTTGGCACGCGGCTCGCCAGGGTAAGCACCTGACATGGCAGGTTTGGCCGATCGCGGCCCCTACTGGCTGCGGTTTGCTGCCCCAGGCCAATGTGGGTGGCGGGAAGCCGCAGCCAGTACATCGCTCGCCCGCGCCGCTTCCCGCTGCCCCCATTGGCCCGGGATGGCGAACCGCAGCCAGTGGGGGTCGCGATCGGCCAAACCTGCCATGTCAGCAGGTAAATAAACTGGCCCGGCCCACCAGGGTGCTTACCCTGGCGAGCCACGTGCCAAACGTTGCCGACCCCTCATTTAGTTATATATTATAGACTTATAGAAAGAGACCTTCTAAAAACGTTAAAATGTATTACTGGCACATGGAACCTTGAATTAGAGTGAATAAATGAAGACTCGGCACACCATTTCTGAAAGGTTGCCGACCCCTGTCCTAAGCCTACTCAGTATGAAAACAGCCTCCTTTCCCCCCTTCACGGATGTTTTGCAGTGTGCAGCAGCCAATGATTACATGAATTGTGTTTGCCACACTGGCAATCAGATGGGTGTAGAGGCAACACCAGCAAGCTTTCACCTACCAAGTGCTCACTCCATGACATTCTGCACCTACTCAACTAGTAACTGACTTTCCTTTTTCCATGGTCAGTGATTTTGGGGTATGTTTTCATGATTCAAAGCAGGAACTGGTATGTGAGGTTTCCCAAAATAACAGTAGGCACAGACACTATATAGAATAATATAATTTGTGGGAAATTAAGTCCTTTCTTCCCTTTTCAAGTACAATCCTGATCTTCTCACTGCCCTGGCATCATGAATCTTTCCAGTGTTTTCCCATGTTAGTATTCATGAATTTGCCTCTATGGTCCATTAAGCCTTGCGAAATCAGCCAATAGTAACCTTTTCAGTTCTGTTACTCATTTTCCCCTGGGGGGGGTGGCAAAGTGATGGGGTATAAGTGCCAGCAATGGCTTACACACCATTTGGAAACCCCATGCCTCACAAACCAGCACAACTACAACCCTGACATTAGAGCTTCCAACCCCACAGTGGTTTGCAATGGACCTATAGCTGCCTGGTGTAGCCACAGACAATAACAACCCACTTCTAAACCAGTATAGCTTCCATGAATCAAGTGTTCTGGCACCCGAGGATTGTGCAAGCTCATCAGACAGATCCATGAAGGTCTGTTTTCTCAATTCTGAAGCTACTGCCGGTCTTTCCAGATTTCCAAAATGATGTCATTTCACCACACTGAGCTGGTTCTCCCACACCAGAAGTCACAGTCTAGTAATGGGCATACCATGGCAATACCGGCATTCACCAGCTCTCTTTCATGCAAGCTGAATGAATTGTCATTGACCCTCAAGGTCAGCCATCTTTGATGTGTTAGAAAGTTATACCCAAATTCCATCCAGCATTTTGCCATTCACCTACTCCGCTGCATAAATGTGTATACTGTGATCAGGAGTAGAATCAGATCATCATCCAGTTGCTCCAGGTCTTCCACCCAGTTTTTCAGGGAATAGCACTGAGGGGCAACGTGATCAGAAACTCCCATCGGCAAATGTAAAGGGGTGGACAGTACCAACACAACAAAAGAAAATGGTTCATAGTGTGGCTCCCTGTGATGCACAGAACCCTGGTATGGTAGCATTAATGTCACATACCTACAACAGCAGTGTGAACATAAGTATATGTGTGTACACAGCATTTACATGGGTCCACCACAGCATATGTGGACTCTCGGGCACGAGTATGGGACGCAACCAAGAGCATTTACATGATCCAGTACTTGGGTATGTGCACAGGTGGAGACATAGGCTAAATGAAATATATAGCATTTGGATATGAATTAATATAAGGTTAAAAATAAAGTATACAGTACATAGCACAATTGCCGCAACTCCAGGAGAAGGGAGATTACAGAATGAGTAGGAAGAAAGTAAATAAACCTATGAAAAGTATAATTTGTGAATTCACCCAGGATGCAATTTAACAAGCGTGCACTGACTTTTATAAACTGATTTTAATGCTAATATTGATTCTTTCAGTAGATAGGTAATTAAGAAGAATTTAGAGTCTGTATTTTTACATATCTTAGTTGTTTCACATCCTTAGACAAAATACGAACTTTCTACTCTACTAGTCTTCCCCTTACTTAAAGTCAATAGCAAAACCTTCATTGACTTTAGAGGAGCAGGCTCAAGCTTATATTGCTTGAAAAGCATACCTTGTAAAAATGATGGATAAAATCTTGGCCCCACTGGAGTCTATGACAAAATTCCCATTGACGTCTAAGATTTCACCCTATACTATTTCTTTTATTAGAGATTGATTAGGCATTTGAGCAATGGACAATGTCTACACTCTTATTCATGGACTAATGATTTCTCCCCATTTTCTTTCTAAATGCTTTCTCATCATCATCATTTCCTACTTAACAATTGGCTAGGAATGTGAACATTCAGATTTCTCCAAGGCCACCGTTAGCTCTTCTCCACAGTGCTTTCTTATTAGGAAATATTTGAAAAGTACCTCTTCCTGATATGTCACTTCTGCTGCTTTCTCAACTGTTATCAACACAGGAACATCTATCCGGAGGCAGGTGCTACACTCATGGAGGGCCACAGAGGTTTAACTAACTCCCAGACCTGCTGAATCTAGTCTTAATATTTTATTTTAAATACTACTAAAATATACCTTGCTGGGGGCGGGGGGGGGAATCAAGCAAGACACTGCACAGTTTTAAGGTTTTTTCCTATTTCCTATATCTATTTATTGCATATATATGAATAACAAATGTTTCCTATTTTGTTTCTATTATGTCTGCCAGATTAACTTCCTGTATAAATGTTATACACATAGTCTAATAAACGGGTAAGGAAATGTCAGTGATGCATCAATACTAACAAACATTAATGAGAGAAATAAAGTAAAAGAGGATATTAAAAGCAATATTTTAAAGAGAATTTTCTTTAAAATCGGGAATAAGGGATCTAGTGAAATAAAATTACCCCTTTGTCATTGACTCTTCAACTAGCTTCATGGCTACTTTAAGGTTTTCCTAATGAGAGGACGTAAACGACACCTTGGTCTCAGCATTGGGTTTAAACTCTCTTCTGAAGGAGTAGATCAAAGAACTGCAGTAGTTTCAATAGAGAAACTTGACAGGCAGCATCTTGATAGACCATCACTTTGTTGTCGGTTTCATCAGCGGCTACTCTGTCTTCTGAAAGGAGCATCAATTTGTTGCAATTCTCTATTAATTTCATTTTTCTTTAGGGAAACCCTCTTAAACCACTACAACCCATCCTTACTAGTTTTCAGAAATTAACAGTGTCAGGAAAGTATCTCTGGCAAACTCCGTTTATGGTCTTTCTCTAGCAATCCCCTATAAAGGTGTCTCCACCTCCCTCATACACACACCGACCCCTGATCTTCCCCTCCACCCCACGTCTCTTCTACCATGCGGCAACACACCATGATCCTATTGGATTAATACACACGCAATATAGTTTCAGGATCTGATTGGAAAAACAAAACCAAAAAAAAAAACCCACCCTAGCTTGCCATATACCTCCCGAGGGGTTTGCCTGGATCATTTATTTATCTTGTGCGCATTAAGAAACCACCATTAGGCTGTGGTGGGAGGTGCTTTACTTTCTGAGTGCCAGCCTGCCTCTTTTGCACTGCAATAGGAATACACAATCGAACTGAAGCTGCAAGCTTGGCAGGAGCCGCCTGGTGCGTGCGTGTGTGTGTGTGTGGTTGTTGGTTCTGTCTATCGATCCAGCTCTCTGCTGTGTTTTCTGATATATATATTTTTGCTGGCGTTTTATTTTATTTTTATGACTATTTTATTTTATTTTTTTAAATCCTTGCCTGACTTTGATTGCAGCTTGGACTTAAGCGCCGCTGAGCTGCTGCTTGGAGGAGAAAGAGCGAGCGAGGAAGCTCTGTCTCCTTTCCTTCCGCTCTGCCTTCGGATTGGTCTCTCTCCTAAAGTGCTGTCCAAGGGTTGGCTGCAGGGCTGCTGAATAACAGGTGCATTTTGCTGCTCCGTCGCCTCTCAAAGAAGCAGCCGAGGAATGCTGGTGCATCTGATCTGTGGATAAGAAGGAGCAAAGGGGGGAAGGGGGGTATCCTAACCCGACCCAGAAAGAGGAGAGCTGCCAGTGTGTAGGAATGTGGCTCATCGTTGCTGGATCCGGATGCTTGGCATAAAAAAAAACTGGACGCTGATTCTTGTGACTTATTAAAAACAAAGGGGGATCTGAAGAAGAAGAAAGGAAGTGGGGAATAAAAGCGAGCAGGATGCTCCGACTGCTGCTGCTCAAGGCTGAAGCGAGCCTGGTGATTTAGCTGATTCAGCAGCTGCTGGAGGAGGTTGCATGAGGAGCCGTGGGGGGTTTCTGGGGCTGGAGACATGTCCCCTGACTGACTGACAGACTGGGAGACCGATCGCTTTCCCTTCCCTCTCTCTCTCACCTGCCCGTCTGCATGCTGCTTTCCCCAGCAGCAGCTTCTCCCTGATGTCTTGTCTTTCCCTCCGAGGGGGTGAAAGGCACCTAGGATGAGTGAAGGGGCTGCCTGCGCCTCCCCACCTGGTGCTGCTGCTGCTGAGGAGGGGGCGGCGGCGGCGGCTGGGGGCCCGGACGGGGATGGGGCTCCCGACCCCCCCAGGGAGCTGCGATGTAGTGACTGCATCGTCTGGAACCGGCAGCAGACGTGGCTGTGTGTGGTGCCTCTTTTCATCGGCTTCATCGGCTTGGGGCTCAGTCTCATGCTGCTCAAGTGGATCGTGGTGGGCTCCGTCAAGGATTATGTCCCCACCGAGCTGATGGATTCCAAAGGGATTGGGCAGGACCCCTTCTTCCTCTCCAAGCCCACCACCCCGCCGAAGAGCATGGAGACCACCACCACCACCACGTCAAGGACACCCAACCGGATAAGCACCCGCTTAACCACCATGACCCGGGCACCCACCCGCTTCCCGGGGACCCGGGTCCCCATCCGGGCGAGCCCCAGATCTACCACTGTGCGCCATACAGCTGCCCCCCCTACCAGTCTCTCCACCACGGTCCCCTTCAGCACCACCATCCTGACCTCCCGTCCGCTGCCCGGGACCCCCAGTACCCAGCCAATGCCCATCTGGCCCACTGCGGCATACGCTACCTCCTCCTATAAGATCTATGTCCACGACTCTGCTCCATCCTGGACCTTATCTCCCTTCCAGGAGTCCACCACCACCACACCAGAAACTAGCACTAGCCCCAAATTCCGTAAGTAAAGCGAAAACTGCCTTGCCTTTGGGCACCCCCCTTTTCACCGCACCCCCACACCTGGTTTAGTCTTTGCATGACTTCAAGAGCCAACCTGGTGGTGTTTCTAGTTTGGATGCTGATGTCTAGTATCGTAGGCAGACAAGGGTTAGCGTGCAATTACTGACACTGCAGAGCTGCTGGAAAGCCCTTAGATTAAGTTTCTGCCTCTCTTTCCCCCCTCCCCTCTTTATCCCCGTTCCCCACCGGCAAATTCCCTGTTTGTGTGATGGATGTTCACACAGTAGCAGTCATTTGAGGTGGAGATATCTCACTATATTTTATAGGAAAGCAGCAATCCCTCTTTCCCCACAGCTTGGTCCAAGGAAGTGCTGTTGAGAAATCCGTGGTCAGAAGGGATAAGTGATGATCCAAAATTTGGTGGTGGCTCTGGAGAAAGGCGCTGGCACTAATTCTGTGGCTGCTGAGATGAAGTGAACTGGTAGACTGATGTTTGGTGCTGCTCACATAGGGTGTGCTAAGGTGTGGGTGACAGTCGTTAAAAAAATCTTTAAATATAAAATGTGATCCAAAGCAATCTCCCTTTCCTTGATGCCTGGCTGTTGAAAAGACCCTTAGCCAGTGCTCTCCGAAAGGGACAGGAGCCCACCCCCTGAATGTGCATAAACGCTCAAATATGATCCAGTCTCATCTATTTGCCATCCGCCACCTCGGCAGATTACTGCCCTCATTGACTAGCTCTTAGAAAGGGGGGTGTTTAATTTCCCTGAATGATGTTTGGTGGCTGACTCTTCCCACCAGCCAGATCGCAAAGCGAAGGATTCTGGTTTAATTTGAAATTTAATTTGGATCGGGGACCTCTCCCTGCCGGCTGTGAAGGTTATCTAGGACGAACGGCAATCTCTGCCAGCGGAACTTCTGGGCAGGGCCGTTTAGTAAAACGATTAATTATACTGTATTAGAGTCTTGTGTGCTTTCTTGGCTACAGTCTAGGAAACGAGGCGCTGTGTGTCCCCCATTAGTGGCTTCTGCTAGGCACGTCAATTCAATTGAATGTTATCAGCGGAATCGCTTTTGTAGCCCGTGGCTCCCCTTTTTGCATGCTAATCTGTGGTTGTTCCGCTGGAGGATTTGGTTAGTTAGTCATTTAAACTTTTTTTCCCCGTTACATCTATTTGCTGATAAGCCCCGGGATAAAGAGTCCATATGCACAGCAAACTGATGCCGTGCATTGGCGAACCAGGCAGAAGAACAGTAAATCTGAAGGGGGGGGGCGAACGCAGCTGTCACTAAATCAGAATGGCAAACAAGGCAATAACTCGCTTCTCCAGCCTTTGATCAAGGTAGGCGAGAGAACCTTCCTTTAAAGGTGCATCTGGCAAAAGGAAGTTGGAGGTTACAATCAGGAAAACCTTTTGTGGAAGAGCTCCAGGGCTGCCACTCTCGTTTCTGCGCATAGAGATGTTTCTGAAATATACATTTTTTATTTTCATCCCATCCTCCTGTGTTCAAACCTTGTATAAGGTAACAAAGCTATATGGCTTTTCAAACTGCATTGACTTTTGTAGGGTTGAAATGCTGTACGTTGGCTCAGGGCTTCTGCCAATATTAAAATATTACTGTGCCATCTTGTAATCCATTTCCAGCTCTCAGTCCCATCTTTTTGGGTCTTTAAAGAGAAATCCACTGTAATTTCCCTCCCTCCACACAGTCTCCCTATGCACTAAAGTGGACACAAGGCTTATTAATAATCATGATCAGCTGGCAGGACCAGTCCAAACCAAGACAAAAAATCAACAACAACAAAATTTTGAGCTGGTTTGAGCACTCACACAGATTTATAAGCAATATTTGTTCCCTTAGATTGCTAATACCAGATAGATCAGGGTGTTTCCCCTTATTAAATACCACTCCCTTATAGGATGAAATGGAAGAAGTGCAAATCCATCAGAAATTGACCCTGTTTGAGTGCATTGATAGCAGAGATTATCATTAACGGAAGATTAAATAGATTACATAAAAAAGGATTTGAATTTATAGGGCATGTGGATATTTTTTAAGCCCTCAGCTTCATATAATCTTTCTCTGAGGTTGCAGTATCAACTGGGGAGAAGGAAATGTAATCTCTCTTTCATGAACTACTGACAGTGTGTGACCCTATGACCCAATATCCGCATCTTCCACTTGCTTTGATTGTGATTAACAGGGTCTTGTGAGAAAAGGAACTCTCTCTCTCTCTTTTTTTTTTTAAATTCAGCTTCAGTTTCCAGGTTGCGCTGCCTGTTCTTTCTCTGCCCATTGCCTCAGCTGCTATTAAAATGAAAGTCATGGGTCCTGTTGTATTATGTGAATACAAATATGATATGACAAGCCTGGTGCCCTGGCTTTCAAGACAAGTGCAGACCCTTGTTTGATCCTCTGCCTTGGAAAGGCACATGTGTAGGCAGGGGTCATAGATCATTTAGCATTTCACAGTTTACAAAAAGAGCTTTATCCAGATTGTTTTGTGTTGCATTTTATTAAACCATTTCAAGATGTGATAACACTGGGCTTGGAATGTGACTTTGGAAAACAGAAGGCAAGTCTGGAGGTATTGGTTCAGAAAACTGGATTTATGTCCGTTTAGTGTAAGTGTTAAAAAAGATCTTTGGTGGTGGTGGTGGGGAGGATGTTCATCTGCAAAGATATAAGGAAGTCTCTCTGTTTTTGTGGATGTGTAGGATGAAAATCATTCTTGGTTCCATTTTGCTCACAGACAAATTCCCTATTTGCTGTTTTGAAAGTTCTTGATGAAATTCCTCCAGGTTCTGACCAAGCAAAAGCTAGTTGCTTATCAGTTCACAAAAAATAGTACTTAATTTGGTGTTCAAAATAAAAATCAGTCACTAATCTAGAATGACTATCTAGCTTGGGGATAAGAGGAACTTACCTACTAACTGAAACATCCATAACGCTTCATTTTTATTAAACATTGGTTTCATGTTTAAAGTATCATGCCCTGATTTTTTTCTATTTGCCTTTTTCTTGATATGCTAGGTCCTTCAGAAATGTTATTATGTATATGTTGAGATGTTGTACTTGAAATTATGCATGCATGGATTCAGCTATGCAATGACATGGTGCTTCCTCTTGTATCCATACACCAAGAAGCTCAGGTCAGGCAGCCCTGGCTCGTATAATGCATAATAACCAAGAAGAGAGATGTTACAGAACTCCTAATCAATACCTTTTGTGAAATCCAATTGAGAGCTTTTTTTTAAAAAATCAGTGCAGACTGAAACCCTAGTATATTTTGATTTTCATTGGTCTTAATATAGGATTATAAGACTTTTTCTGCTTTAATCAGTTATGCAAAGCATGTCCTTTATCTGCTTATTTTGCACAACATGGGTTGACAAAACAAGCCTGGCACCTGAACTAGTGCCATCACCATTGGTTTCATTTCACAATGGATTAAGTATTTTTTTTCCACATTAGGGGTGGTATTTAATAAATGGCATGGGAGGGCTTTTACCAAAGAAATTCCATGTGGAAGTCCTCTCCCTGCTATGTGTAGGAGATGTCAGACCCTCATGAAACGTGTTCAGCTCTTTCCATGGCTCAGAAATCTTCTACCCACACTCGACCTGATCCTTGAAATGCTTACCTGTGCTCTCAACTTTATTACCATGGGTAATCCCTAAAATCAATGGGACTACCCATGGTAGTAAAGTTGTTAAGCAGGCTCACAAGGGTTTGCAGGATCAGGATCTTACTTTATTAACCAGTTTGCAATACATTGAGGGATGATGAACCAAAGAAAACTAGAACTTGAAAGGCAGTTGCTTCCTCTACCCCTTTTACACCCCCCCCCAAAAAATTTTGTTTTCCCCCAGCTGAAACAATCAGTAGATAAAGGGATAACAATCATGCATTTAAAAATTACTTAGCCACCAAGTAATAAATGGGAGTAATTAAAATTTAAGTTGATTTTCACCAATTTCTGAAGCCTTCTTGCTTTTTTGTGTTTCCATCAACTTGGACAGTGGTATTAGACTTGTTAATTTCATTTTCTATTAATAGATAATTTTCATTTCTGGTAGTTATGCGCTAGCACATTATCATTGTGTCTGACGTTGATTACTCTGCAGTGGAAGGTTTAAATAAAAATATACAAATACCAACATATTAATGTTTTAAAAATATCTTTAAATTTTGATGTTAATTATACTCAAATTATAGTTTTACACTTAAAAATACACTTAAAATTAGAAGCTATATAGAACATTTGGTGTTAAAAATCAATATAAAACAGTCATCAATTATACAGCTTTTTGGTTTTGCCATTGAAAACATAAGAATATAACTTTATAATAACTTTCTTATAATAATTTAACCATATAGTATATTAATGGATAGTAAGTGAGAATGTAATTGTGTCCAAGTGGAGTGGTTTTAAATGGTTGTGAATTATATATATTTCCTACTATACTATACAATTCTTCTTTTTACTCAAGTTTTTAACAAAGGTTATTGGAAATATCAGGATAGAGGAAGAATGCAATAACAATTGAGCAGTACACATGTGAATGGAAAACAGATGACTTATATCCTGTAGAAATTGTTTAGATTCATAAATCAAACTAAATATTGATTAATTAGTTTGGTTCAGGATTCATACACTATATTTCAACCAGTTACCCTAATTATGGAAGGAAAGGGACCTTAATGTTTCAAATTATTATGCTGCTTTTTAAGATTGAAGGACATATTTTTTTGGGGGGGCTACAAGGCTATTCATTAGGGTGATATAATCTGTGATGCTTGGTAGAAGTAAAGGTTTCCTTTTTTTTTTTAATAGCATGTCTTCTCATTAGCAATGATACAAGGACTATATACGATATATGTTCACAACAATATACTGTTATAAAAGTATTGACATATCACAAAATATTATCCTAAAGTAATGATAATGGTCTGTGCTAAACCACAGAAAATACAAATTCAAAATTAAGGCCAAA